AGTGACATCTGCTTTAAAGAGGATTTGTCATTTTTGACTTTTCCTCTCACTTTCTTTTGTGTCTACATAACAGAAAAAGTGAAAAGAAATCTCCCCAATGAAACGCAAAAGGAAAAAAAAGTGTTGGCTTTTAATACACACAATTTATTAACCCCAATTGTAATCTAACACCTAATGCTAAATTAAAGCCTAAATGTATTCAAAATAAAAAAAATCAGCACAAGGTGCATGATTTACTATTAATTGATGTGTACTACAGATTCTTTTAATGAAATGTGATCTATGAATAGAGGTCAGGTGGATGATTGAAAGGTCCGCCCCCTCCATTCATAGATCATGGTAGTGCTGTAGTGGAGCTTCTATAAGAGGAGGAGAGGGGCAGAAAGGGTGGGCATAGTCGGCACTCTTGATGAGTACTTGTCACAGCTCAATCAGCTCTATCTGATGCAAGTCACCCAAGTAAATGCCAATTATATAAAAAGGATAACCAAAAAGGCCCAAGCAAACAATAAAAAAAAAAATTATATATATATATATATATATATATATATATATATATATATATAATATTTTTATTTTTGCATGGGGCAATCTACTTATGCTAGAGTGTGTTCTTGCAATGCATTGAGGCCAGGGCCCTTGAATGGTATAATCTTTTGATGTTCATTGTAGATTGCATACATTGTTTGTTAAAGTATTTATAGAATTATGGCAAAAAAGTTGAAGTTTCTGAGAGAACATAGAGCAAATTCCACAAAGCCCTGTATGCATCTTAAAGGGATTCTGACTGTAATCTTAGAACAGCATGTATCCCCTTCTGTTGGCTCAAAATGGGCATGAAAAAAAAAAAAACGCAATACGCACACGCATTGACACATGTATTTATATTTTAATGCTGCAAGTATAGGAAAGATATCTGTTGATCCCGTTGGAAATCCAGTGAGCTCCTAAGTCCCTGTAGAGGACTGACAACACTTTCTTTGCCATAGTGAAATCCCAAGCAGTGTTGCTGAAGGCTCCTTGACCTTTATGTTGGGTTCACACTAGTGCCGTTTTGCGGACCGCTGCACGGCAGCCCATTTATTAATTTGCCTCGTAAAAAAAAAAGGCCCCTGCACCTTTCCAGAAATTGCAGCCCGCACTGGGACCCACAGTACAGTGTGGTTCCCAGTGTGGGTGCAACTTCCAGTGCAAATTAGATTAATAGTACCCACCTCACGGGTCCTGCATTTTGTGTGCAGATGGCTGCAGCTGCGGGACGAAGTGCGGGTCCCGTAGCGGCTTCCACCTGCACTAGTGTGAACTGAGCCTTAAAGTGGAATTCCAGCTTATACCCAATAGTCTTGAAACTGTCCCCTCCCCCTCCTACTGCCAATGCTAACTAACCTATGTAAGAAAGATGTACATTCTTACCCATTTTCAGGCCACTTTGGTCTTCAAAGGAAAATTCCCTCTGGACTCCATAGAAATTAATGGGTTAAAACTGGCCAAGGTCAAGGGGATGTGGAAGTTAACGAGACCTTAAAAGGGACAAAGGGTGGGGTCATTGACAACTTTGCAGAGGACCATACATCATTTTGTCCAGGAGAAGAGGAAGGACTTGTGACAAAACAACAAAAGAGAAAAATTCCGGGCCCAACCAGCCTCCAAACAAACCGAATTAACCTGTATAACAGTATATGTTAAAAACAGGGGTTTAGTTAGCACACATTTACAAATACATGCGTAAGATACAGAGCCTCGTCACAGCACCCCAATGTTATGTAGTTCCTAACTAAATTCCTAAATTTTGAGAGCCCCCATAGTAGAGGCGCATGTATTTAATCGATAGATCAAGCGCAGGTGAACCTGAGGGAGCCCACCCCTCCTTAAAGTGGAGTTCCAGCTGGAAAAAAAAAGTCAGCAGCTACAAGAACTGTAGTTGCTGACTTTTAAAATACAGACACCTGTCCTTTGGTCCAGCTATGTCCTCACCACCACTGGTTTCACCAGCCGTCTTCTCTCCCTGACGCCGGCATGTTTAGTGTGGGCACCCAGCTGTGACAGCTTGTGGCTTCACAGCCAGGTACCCACTGCGCATGCGTGAGAAGCGCTGCGCCTTGTGATGTGAATGGCCCCGTAGTCTTCTGGGACCTGTCATGTGTCCCAGAAGACTACGGAGAGGGAGGGGGGAAGGATAACTTCCGCTTCCAATCGCCTAGGAGATTGCAGCAGAAGTGGCAGCAGAAGTGGGAGCAGGTACCTGTCAAATTCGGGTACCCGCTCCCCCCTCCCTGCTCCCAAAGGTGTCAATCCTTAATGGGGAGTGGGGGACGAAGCATTAAAGCGGAACTTCCCCTTTTGGGTAGAACTCCGCTATAAAGGTACAGGAGAGCACCGGACACCCAGCATGTAGCACAATGGCAACTAAGGTGTCCAGTGCGCTGCCTCACCAACAATTCAACAGTACAAAAAATGGCCACTGCCCCAGTCTATAACTGGCCTTCACAGCAAGGAACACATGGAAAGGTGACGCGAGTCAAACAACAAATTAGGATGAGGCCTAAAGCAGAGGGGTTCTTGTGCAGGAGGAGGTGATCCCAGCCTGAAGGGCTGCTGCCCTTCTGGGCACTCCACCTGTGCTGCTTTATTTGCTCATCGAAGCACAGCTGTGCTAGTTGGGGGGGGGGGGGGCTATTCTACTGAACTTTGCTGGAGCTCATTTAGTATTTTCTTTTGGGATCTGGACTCAAGAGTCCACAGTAGAAATGTCTGTCTGATATTGAAAGGAGGCATCCAACTATCCAGTGAGTACAGACTCGTGTGTGAGATCCCAGTGACTGTTTGCTGCTGTTATCCTTCCTGAATCAAAGTCAGCCTATGCTTAAAAGTCACTATTTCCTATGGTGTCCCTGTGTAGTTCAGTCCAATATATGCTGCTGCAAGGACTGTGCTAGGAAACTGTGAGAAAGAGTCAGGTGTCCTCAAGTTACTACTTAAGGTTGCTGGAGTATCTCACGGTTGCCCTGCACCCATCCAAGATTGAGTTTTCAATAAAGCTTAAATACAAGATGCCCCTAGATCAATCATTGAGCCAGAAGAGGGAGTAGGACTGTGTGCCTGGCTGCTAGTGCACTTACTGGAGAAAGAACCATGGGACCAAACCAGTGGGCCCTTTAGGGGGTGAGCGCTACTTCTATATGCATGCGCAGGCTTAGAGTTGCGTACAGCCCTTCATGTTAATGGGGCTTCTGTACACAAAACTCCTGGGCTGGGAAATACAGCTGAACTTTATTTTGTATGACTCCAGATGGCCATGTGCATGAGCCCCCTCCATTCATAGATCATGGTAGTGCTGTAGTGGAGTAAATAAAAAAAATGTCACTGGTTACATATGGTCAACACCACTCGTTTTTCAATTTTTAATAAACAATGGCATAGATATTGGAAACATTTGACCTTTCATTATTTTTTTTTTTGTCATTTTCAGGATGAGAGCCCCCTTTCAGAATGAACTCCTGTCATTATGATAAGCGGATGGACTTTTTCTACAATCAGAGCAAATCTCAAACAGAGGATGATTGGACTGGGCCCAAGCTAATTATGTTGTTCTGTTTTGGTGCCTTCTGCTGTTTGTTCATATTTATGTCAAATTTGTTAGTAATCGCAGCTGTTGTGATAAACAAAAGGTTCCATTACCCGTTCTATTACTTGTTGGCCAACTTAGCAGCGGCGGACTTGTTCTCTGGGATTGCCTATGTTTTCATGATGTTCCACACAGGACCGGTGTCCAAAACGCTCAGTGTTCATCGATGGTTCCTGCGGCAGGGCCTCTTGGATACTAGCATGACTGCATCCCTGGCCAATCTCTTGGTCATCGCCGTTGAGAGGCATGTATCCATTGTACGAATGAGAATCCATACGAACCTCCTCACCAAAAGGAGGGTGACCTGTCTCATTCTGCTAATCTGGGTTATTGCTATTTTTATGGGGGCCGTGCCCACATTGGGCTGGAACTGTATTTGTGACGTCACTACATGCTCCTCCCTTGCACCCCTTTACAGCCGGAGTTATCTTACTTTTTGGACTGTCTCTAATTTGGTAGTTTTTCTAATCATGGTGGTGGTCTACCTGAGGATTTACATGTATGTGCAGAGGAAGACCAACGTCTTGTCTTCACATACCACTGGCTCTATCAGCCGAAGACGGACTCCAATCAAGTTGATGAAGACAGTAATGACTGTGTTAGGTAAGGAAAAGTGGTGGGATCTTCTGTTATACCAGACATAAAATAGGATATTCAAGGAAAATGCTGTTGGGGGCAGGATGGTTGATCTTGTAGTGTGTTTTCTCATCCCACAACCTCCTAGAAAACAACAGAGACACTCTATTCTGTCTTCTGAAGTATTTGGCGGACTGTAAAATGCAGCCATTCCCACTGGTATTTTTCTGTTTTTGTTTTATTTTTGTGCAGCACCAGATTCCACCAATAGGAGGCACTAAAAGTGAAATAAAAAAGTGGTGGATATGTCCAAAAAAAAACACAATATCACAGGATTTTTTCTTAAATAGGAGTACCTTTCATGTAAAATAGCCATGAATGTACCATTATTCACATGGAAATTTAAAGGAATTGACAATAATCCATTTTTTATATATATATATATATATATATATATATATATATATATATATATATATATATATATATATATATACACACCTATATTGCCCTTTGCAGCTATAACAGCTTCAACTCTTCTGGGAAGGCTGTCCACAAGGTTTAGTGTCTATGGGAAGGTTTGACCATTCTTCCAGAAGCACATTTGTGAGGTCTGAAGGCCTGTTCATATTGGAACAGGAAGGGACCATGCCCAAACTGTTTCCACAAAGTTGGGAGCATGGAATTGTCCAAAATGTTTGCTATGCTGACACCTTAAGAGTTCCCTTCACTAGAACTAAGGGGCCAAGCCCAACCGCTGAAAAACAACCCCACACCATAATCCCCCCTCCACCAAACTTTACACGTGGCACAATGCAGTCAGGAAAGTACCGTTCTCCTGGCACCTGCCAAACCCAGACACGTCCATCAGATTGCCAGACAGAGAAGAGTGATTCGTCACTCCCGAGAACATGTCTCCACTTCTCTAGAGTTCAGTGGCAACTGCTTTACACTACTGCATCCGATGCTTTGTATTGCAGTTGGTGATGTAAGGCTTGGATGCAGGTGCTCGGCCATGGAAACCTATTCCATGAAGCTCTCTATGCACTGTGGTGATAATCTGAAGGCCATACAAAATTTGAAAGGTTTTTAGCTATTGACTCTGCAGACAGTTGGTGACTTCTGCGCACTGTGTGCCTCAGCATGCGCTGACCCCTTTCTGTCATTTTACACGGCCTACCGCTTGGTGGCTGATTTGCTGTTGTTCCCAGTTGCTTCCACTTTGTTATATTACCGTGGAATATTTAGTAGCCAGGAAATTTTATAGATGGACTTATTGCACAGGTGGCAACCTATCACGGTACAACGCTTGAATTCATTGAGCTCCTGAGAGCGACCCATTCTTTCACAAATGTTTGTAGAAGCAGTCTGCATGCCTAGGTGCTTGATTTTATACACCTGTGGCCATGGAGGTGATTTAAACACCTGAATTCAATGATTTGGAGAGGTGTCCAATACTTTTGGCAATATAGTGTGTATATAGATCAACAAAAACATTTTGACATTTAAAAATCTACAGTCTTTTATTTCTGTTCATGTGTACCACACCCACCAATACAGGTGCCGCATGTGAAACTTTTTTCCCAATATGCGCTCCAGACCCCAAAATCTGGTCTGCTCATCTTGTGACATTCCTTGCAGCCCCTCTGTTGGTGGGCTTGTACACATTTGGTGGGGAATGTAGGTGGAACTCCACTTGTTTGATGAGAACTTCCTAACCTCTTCTTCCTGAAGAAAGCTTAGTATTGCTTCTTGGGTCTATTTATTGGGTAAACATTTTTTTTTTGAGATGATGGAAATGGTGGGCTAAATATATAAAATAGGATTATATAATGTGATTTATATTCAGGATATACTTTGATAGCTTTCTTATCCAGACACTTGGTGACCATTTGGGTCATCTGGGATCATCTTTGACCAATCTGCAGACTGACGAACAGTAAAATTATAATCCTTTATGGATGATTATTGAAATTCTATCTATTAGTAAGGGATTTTCTTATATCTATAGTATTCATTCCTTTTTTGGTACACACATTTGTAGATATATAACCTTCGAGTCCCTCTTTTTATTAACATATGGTCATATGATAGATTTTTTATAGCCATACATTATACCTACAGTATGTAGGAGATAATTATGGCCCCATGAAGATCACTATATCCCCTACAGCCCTTCCTATCCATGTGGGATGTATATGCCTTGTATATGCCTTGTTGGCCGAGCACATTAGACAAAATTGAAGATAGGTTCATACATACGATCATCAATGTGATAATATACAGTATTTTCCATAATATTTATGGTCATGTAATTCTGTTGATTTGCTACCTCCATTCTCCTGAAGAATCAGATTTAGTATTTTGGAATTGTGTAGAAAAGTCGTCTACTACCTCCGCAAATATTGACTGGAATGTTGGACAATAATCCTAACGTGTGTAGAAATAGATAAACCGTATGCCAATTAGGAGGTGTTCGCAACTATTGGAGGGTTATTGTGCACAGAATATACAATCTTTTGAAGTATGATTGTTTTTAGAGCTCATTCACACCAGCAAGCTGCACTCAACACATGGCCACTGGGCAAGGCTACCCATTAGAGCCAATGCACAAGTGCAAACAGGTCCTTCATCTTTTTTTTTTTTTTTTTTAATGGGAACAAAAATAATTTAAAAATTTTAAATGTCACAAATGTCTTTGATCTATAAATGATTGATTATTGGTACTTTTAAAATCCCATGTGATTTAACAGTATATATGTGGGTGTGTTTGTATATGTATGTACATGTCTGAAAGCCACCCAGCACAGGGTGATTTGTGGGAACTTGACATTTAGCTAAGATTAAAGCTATCTAACAGACATCTCTATCCATACAAATGGCGTGGATTCACAAATCCCTTCTATTGTATTCTGACATAATATCTGAACAGCGCCGCTGCTGATTAGCTGCAGGCGCTGTTCGGCTGTCAATACTCACTTCAACTCCTTAACCAAAAGTCAGTTGAGCAATTGACTTTTGTCAAGCCAGCAGTTCCACTTACTAAAGAATGAGAGTGTCAGCTGAATCCAATGAATCGGCTGAAAATTTAATGCAGGTCATGGATTATGCAGTTTTATTTTCTTCCAGCCCTGGTGGAAGAAAAGAAAGATGCTCAATTTCCTCATCAACACAGTCAGTACTGATGGGGGGATTCCCTCCCACAGCACTGTTGTGCTCTACTGGTGGGGAACCTTCCCTGCCAGCAGAACACAATGATTAGTGTTTCTGGCTATAGTTGGCAGTACTAATCGTTCTGGTAAAAAGCGATAGGTGATAGATTGACTTGTGTACAACCAGGGTGCCCACACATAGATCGAAATTCAGTTGGTCTGTATTAAACTGGCTGAATTTCCATCCATGTATGGCCAGCTTAAGGAAAATGTTATAATAGGAGCACCTGTTTTGGTGACGATGGTCTAAGGCTCCATGTACACGGGACGTTTGGAAAACACTTCTGAACGATGGAAACTGACTGCTGGAAAACGTAGGTTAAAAAAACGTCTGTTTAGCCGCGTTGCATACCGCGTTTATGAGCATTTTCGTTTAGAAGCGTTCTTTAAAGATAACCTCAGGAGGCCTTCCAAAATGCCCAGAATGCAGTGAAAAACCGTAAAAAATTAACTATTCAGACATTTGGAGAGAAATAGAGAGAGCAAAAGCAGAGAGAGCAGTATGTGTTGAGATTGTCTTTTTTTTTGTGGCGTTTGGATGTGTTCCAGCTCATTTCTGTGCAGAAATTATTGCAGCAGTGTCTAACATATTTTTTCTTTCATGTAAAAACTCAAAATATGGTGTTCCAGGTCCATTTGAGTACTGGGAAAACGCTTTGCATGCATTTTTCCTCACCCCAGACACCACCAAACAACTTGTACACTCCCTCATCATCTCACGCCTGGACTATTGCAACTCCTTTCTCACTGGCCTACCCAAACGAATGCTATCCCCGCTCCAGTCGATCCTAAACTCAGCGGCGAGACTCATCCACCTCACCAAGCGTTCCACATCTGCCACCCCCCTCTGCCAATCCCTTCATTGGCTCCCAATTGCCCAACGCATCAAATTCAAGCTGCTAACTCTGACCTACAAGGCCATTCACAATGCCGCCCCGAACTACATAACTGACCTGATACCCAGATACTACCCTACCCATGCCCTCCGCTCCTCACAGGACCTCCTGCTCTCTAGCTCCCTGGTCTCCTCCTCCCTCGCCCGATTGCAGGACTTCTCCAGGACTTCCCCCATCCTCTGGAACTCCCTACCCCAATCCATCAGACTGTCACCTACCCTCCACACCTTCAGGCGCACCCTGAAAATCCTCCTCTTCAGGGAAGCCTACCCCAACCTCACCTAACACCCGACCTCACCTAACAACTAACCTCCTCCACCTTACCCACCACTCCATCCCCCACAGCTATCTCCTCCTGTACACCTTCCCCTCCCTCCTAGATTGTAAGCTCGAAAGAGCAGGGCCCTCGAACCCCTCGTGTAGTGTATTGTTACTGTCTTTGTCTCATGTTCTGTCCCCCTTGCTACTGTACAGCGCTGAGCATACCCTTTGGCGCTATATAAATACTGTATACTAATAATAATAATTTTTCATGATGAAAAAGGCTCTGGACAGCATCTGGAAATGGAAGAGTTAAAACAATTTTCCAAACGCTAACACTTATAAACGCGGTTAGCCGCGTTTACAAGCATTTGAAATTTGAAACGCTGATAAAATCTACTCCTGAACGCAAGTTTGGTGCGTTCACAAAAACAACTGTAAACTCAACTGCCTGTAAACGACGACGTGTACATGGACACATAGGAAAACATTAGGGAGAGTTCAGGGGCTGCTGAAAAAAATGCAGAAAAGCTGAATGTCAGCTGCAGTGCACATGAGCCTTAGAGAATATTTCTTCCCTTGTGGAAGGTATTACTTTTGCTTAATGTATCTCTCAAGATAAAAAGAGAAGACGGGTGACCCTTTAACAAGGCCACAAACAGCAACCACCTACCTCACCCCATTCCCCTCCAGTATTTTCTGCTTTATGCAAAATCTAAAAGACCGTTTTGGCTGGAGGTACAATTAAAGCAGCCCAGAATACGCAACTGTTGAAATATTATCAATCCGTGTGATTAATCTGTATAGTAGAGGTGACAACAGTGACCATGACTATATAGAGACACAGAAGAATGACGGCAGACAAAAGAACAAGTGGTCCATCAACTCTGCTCCATTTTTTTTATTTAAATGTTTGTTTGGGTTTTTTTTTTATTTTTGCTTTGTTGACTGGCTGACTACCTCTGCTGGAAGTCCATTCCCAGCATCAGCTACTCTTTCAGTAAAATAATACTTTCTATGATTAGTTTTGAACTTTCCTCCTGCTACTTTGAGGTCACCTCCCCGTGTTCTTGATCTTCGCTTCATACTGAAAATACTGCTTTCCTGAACCTCATTCACACCCTTAATGTATATGACACGAGAAAGCTGAGTGATTCAGAAATCTTGGCTGTTCTGCTGAAGCAACAATTAGATCATTGCTAGCGAGCTGAGGTTGGGGTGGAGCAGACCAGTCCTTCATCCATCACACAGAGTTGATTTACTTCATCGCTTTGCTCTGGGTGGTTTTACAAGTAATCACAGATTTTTCATGTTAGGAAAAGTTTTATATTTTATTGCTGATCTGAAAATATTTCTATATTATAGAAAGAGAGGTCCTCTGTATAATGATCATAGAAACCTGGGATCTGTCATTGGCGACTTAAAGCGGAGTTCCACTCACCTTGTCAAAAAATAAGTCTGCAGCTACAAAAAAACTGTAGCTGCTGACTTTTAAAAAAACAGCCACTTACCTGTCCCACGATCCCGCGTTGCCCCCGCCGCAGCCCGTTTCACCGGCAGCCCTGTATTCCAGGCGGCCGGCATCTTCAGTGTGCGCACCCGGCTGTGATGGCTTGCATCTTCACAGCCAAGTACCCACTACGCATGCGCGAGTAGCGCTGCGCTTCCTGAATAGTCCTGTAGTCTTCTGGGATCTGTCGTGTCCCATAAGACTACAGGGAGGTAGGGAGGGAGGACACCTTCCGCTTCCGATCGCCTAGGCAATCAGACCAGAAGTGGGAGAGGGTACCTGTCAAATTCGGGTACCCACTCTCCCCCCTCCGCCCCCCAAGGTGCCAATCCTTAATTGGGAACGGGGGAGCAGTCCTTAAAGTGTAACTTCCCCTTTTGGGTGGAGCTCCGCTTTAAAGACTTTTAAAGACCTTGGGTACAGAAGAAATTGGAGCAATGCAGAAATAGGTCCATCAAATGATCAGGTCTTGTAAAAAATAACTAAAGTGGTTGTAAACGC